AAATGTTCCCAGGTGCCACCCATGCAAACAAATATTGTAATAATCTCTAATCTTGCATGTAACACATTGAACAATGGCGAAAAATCCATCCATCCATTATCTATACACCGCTTAATCCTCACTAGGGTCATGGGGGGCTGGCGTCTATCCCAGCTGACTCAGGGTGAAGGCAGGAGACACCCTGGACAGGTCACCAGTCTATCACAGGGCTACACTTAGAGACAGACAACCAAGCACACTCACATTCACACCTACAGACAATTTAGAATCACCAATTAACCTCAACATGTTTTTGGACTGTGGGAGGAAGCCGGAGAACCCGGAGAGAACCCACGCTGCAACATGCAGACCCCACACAGAAAGATCCTGGGTGTCCTTCTTGCTGTGGGGCAACAGTGATGCCAGCTGCGCCACCTTGCAGCCCCCCGGTGAAAATGTGTTTTAAAAGTTTAAAAGGATTTATAAGGCACCTTGTCGTGCACAGGGGTTGTTTCAAGTGATTTACAGGCAAATATAAGAGTGAAACCACTCAAATTTTCTCCTTTAAAATGTGTTTTTGTGGCTTTTCAGAAGCAGCTGTTACTGGAGGAATTGTGTTTTCAGGTTGTCTGTTCCATTCTTGTAAACGAGAAAACTTAGGACCACTTGGAGAGAATTTTCGCTAAATTTGGCACAAATATTGACTTGGACTAAATAATAAACTAACTAGATTTCGGTGTGCAAAGATTATGTCAATATAACGATATATATCAGGAGAGCTTTGAGCGAACTTCTTAACATCTGGCACAAATTTTGGACTCAAGGATGAACTGATTGTATTTTAGTGATCAAAGATCATTCTGTTTTCACAAAGCACATTTTTGGACTCAAGATTTTCTGCACTAATTACGACAAAATTTCACACAAATGTCACTTATTATTAAAATTATAAAGTGACGGCATTTTACTTTCCCAAAGGTCAACTTCACAGTTACACCCTTAGGTTCTTTCTTGGCTGGTATTTAAGGGCTCAGGAACAGACGGACAGACTGTCAACATATTGCACATTTATTTGTATTCTTAATTGTGGTGAAATCTTCTGTGCTGCTGGTTTGAAGATGTGAGTGAAGCATCCATGTTTTAGAATTTGCAGCTTCTTTGATTCGTACTGGCAGCATCCTCAGCTGTCATGGATCCAACTCTGAGTTTTCTAATAACTTAACTCATTAATGTGAACACATACAAGGATTTTTTGTTTCTTTCTCTGAACTCCAAAGTTTTAACTACACATATGAAGAGTTTGGACAGACATGGATGGAACTTGACTATCGGTGGAGGAACACAATCTTCAGGCTGTGATTCTTGGTCCCTCATTTCGTCTATTTTCTCCCCTGTACTCACACATCTACCACCTTTGCTCTCTCCCTCTTTTTTCCCGGTCGCTGCCCTTATTGAACCAGAACATTGTTGTTTTATAACACTCCCAGTGGCTCCAAACAAAGCAAGAAAGAAGAAGATGGTTTAGACTATCTTTAAGCTGATAGGAGGGAGGCGGGGATTCTGGGTCGGGTTCTTGTCAGCATGCAAACCGCTATTCAGCGCCGGAGGAAAAGCCTGTCACTCTTAATCTCATATTATGTTGGGCCGTGTGTGTTTTCCTGCTCTGTGTGTTTGTGCTTCGGTTACATGTGTTGAACGCCTCCACGTGTGTGTTGTTCTCATATTTACTGTATGTCATCGCAGTGTCACCCTGAGGTCAGCTGTGTTAAAAATACACCTCTGCATGGGTTCAGGGTCATTGTTTCCTTTGTAGACACGGCTGCACTACTATCTGCTTTATTTCCTATTAAAATGTCCAAGAATTAAAAAGTGGATTTTTTTTTTTTTAAAGAACAGAATTCATCTATTAATTCAGCATTACTCACCACAGCACTCACAGATGTGATCATTGTCCTTTCTTTGTAGAAGTTTCAACCCTACAGTGTTGTATGAAAGCTGTAACCACTTATCACGGCTCTGGCTGTATTCAGTGATACATAAAAGCAGCCACATGCGTTGCAGAGCTGCAAAATGAATCACAAATCTGTTAAATCACATCAGTTGGCTCCTAAATGAGGTGTGTGAGCGGTGCAGAGTGGGAGTCCAGCAAGTGGTTTCAAAATCAGACTGTCAGTGTTCTCTTTCTGCAAGACAATGGGCCGCTCCAGCAAGTCCAGATTCTCTATTTCATTCCTTCAGACCTTCACCTCACATTGTATGAAGCCACTGAAAGGCAGAAGTGCTAATCCTCTACTGTCACTGTTTGTTTTCACTCGGTTTGTTAAAAATGTGTGAGTTTCATGCTGAACCAAGAGCCGACGGCATCATTACACCCAGATATTTCGTGTTGTCAGTGACTTCTGTGTTTTCAAGGTGTTCTGATTAAAAAAATGTGACAACAAACAGTGTGAAGAAGCTGAGCCACGGCTGCACAACGCTGGAAAAAAATGACTTGTCTCTGATTAACCAAAATGTTTCATACTGTAGCATAAAGTTTTTAGATTGATGTATTAAATACTATTTTGAGGCAACAAGATCTAATCATCTATCAGAGATAAAAGCTTTCACTGTTATTTCTCATTATGTAATTGATTCAGAATCTGCAACATAAAGAATGAGACCCTGTGACTCAATGAGATTACCTGGAAGGAAACGTTTTAAAACATTTTTAAAAAATTGAACAAGTGGATCAAAAAATCTCTGATTATTAGTGAGTTGAGACGTGAATAAGATTAAAGCTGCTGTGAAAAATCCCATCTTTGTGCACAAATTAACAATGCAGAACTCAACTAGTGCTATTTTTTTAACCACATGTAGCTGCATGTCCCAATAATATAATAACAGAACATAGAATATTTTATAATACGAAAAACTTGGTCATAAAAATGGGGCTGGAAATGTTATTTTTGTTGAACTTTCACAACTGATTGAGCAGGTTTGACAAGTTTTACCATGTAAACAACAATATTATGTGATAATAGAGTTCTGGAGTTTCAATGTGGTTCTCAATATATAACTGAATCAATGACATGATGAGGAATAACAGTGAAAATTTCAGGCTGTTATCTTTATTAGTTCCTGTGATATCGTCATTCAAATAGCCTCAAATTTCAGTGTGCGCAAAAAAGAAAAGAAAAAAAACGATGGGCGATTTAAAAAAAAATAAAACAGATCTCAGAAAGTATTTGATATATTAATCTAAAATTTCACAGATACCATGTTTAGTATCCATGTTTTATCATAGAAATAAGCTAATATATTGAGCAAATACTAGCTGATCAAGCAGAAGGCTGCTGATGATTTGAGACCACTGAAAAATGCAACAGGCGACTTTTCAGATATTATTTAAGTGGGCTGTCAGACTTACGTCGGACTTCACTGACTTCACAAGTCTTCCTGGTAGCTGCATAATATTCAGTTTGTGACAGTCATCTTGTGGCTTCATACAGCTCTACGATGGCAGCTTAAGAAAATAGCTGCTGTTATATATCACTTACCAAGCGACCAGATCGTGTTTTTAGAACCATCTTTGGTAACGTGGTCATTGATTATTAGTAGTGATCTCTGTCTGCTGTTTGGAACCTTCCTCATATGGTAGAAACGCTGACAAAGACATCTTTGGAAGCCATTCAGGATGTCTTGGACTCGTCATACCCAGCTTTATGTTGCTGATTTAGATTGTAAACACATTTGTTGCACTGTCTGGTGCAGTGGCAACAATTCCAAAACACTGCAGTACCTGTTTTGGTTCAAACCAAATCAAATCTTCCTTTCCAGTGTTTTCTTCTTGTTTCTCACTCATTCTGTGCACACCTGAAGGATCCATGTCAACCAACTCTGTGTCTTTAAAGTAAACTTAAAAAATATAAATAAATTAATCAGAATAATTCTATCAGACAGGCTCCTCTTGTAGGTTATTATGCACATTTTCTTCTTGTATCAAGCAGCGAAATCAAGTTGCAGCTGTTAAAGTGCCTTTTTCAAATCACATCTTCAGCAATGACTCTATCTAGTTAACTATATCCCCAAAGTCAAAACGAAGCACAGAGAGGCAGCTTTCAGTTTTTATGCACCACATATCTGGAACAAACAGCAACTCCACGGCTGAAGACCTGTTTGTTTCTGCCTTTCATTAAAAAGCGAATATTAAACTGCACTGCGACATTTTACTGTCTGTTTAATCTAATTTTTTATTGTCTATTTAACTCTTAATTGTGTTAGAATGTCTTTTGATATTGCTTCATGTTCATTTCTCACTTTAAATTGGCATGTTTTCAAAATGTGCTGCACATATGAGCTTTCCCTTGTGTGTGTTTTACTTGTGTTATCAGCACATGGGCTCTATTTTTCTGCATTTTGCACATGTAGCTGCTGTGATTGTGTAACTGGCTCTACGTTCTTCCAAACGCAGGTTTAGCTACGACTGAACACCGCGTCTGAAAAGCTCCTGTTTGGAAACAGACGGACTTCTGCTGCTCTGCTAATGTTTCTGCTCACACTGCACCACCCATGTCGATGCAGTTTTGCACAACAGGCAGTTTTCCACTCCTTCAGAAGTTAACTTTCCTGAACTAGAAATGAATCCGTCTCACTGTCTGTGAATCCAGACGTTTAATAAACTCAGCTCAGGCATTAACGAGAGCAGCATGTGTCACGTTAGGAGATGACATTGAAATCCACACTGAGGTGATATACAGTAGGGCTGAACTGGGTAACGTATTAAAACTCACAGCTTGCTTGGTTGCGACATGAATTCTTCTCTCTTTAAATGAGAAACAATAAATCCGAGCTCCTCCGGTGGCTCCACCTGTGTCATTTTCAGTTTATTTTAATAGAGATTCAACCTGTCACAGTTTCATTCTGTTTTGCTTCCCATCATGCACCTGGCTTTCCACACAACACTTACAGCATCACGGCGCCTCAACAACGCTCCAGGCTGCTAAGATGCCCTCTGATACATCAGTTTTCTGTGTTTTCAACAGGTCGGCATAGACTTCACGGCGTCTAATGGGAACCCCAGAGAGCCGTCCTCCCTCCATTACATCAACCCGCTGGGCAGCAACGAGTACCTGGCTGCCATTTTAGCTGTGGGACAAATCATACAGGACTATGATACGTAAGTATTCGAAGCAGATGTCTTAGTTGTTGTGTTGTTTGTAGTCAGTTAGAGAAGAAACATGCGATTCTCAACAGGGACAGAGTAAATATGGCACTAAATACAATAACTAACCCTCTCGACCCACTGTTTTTGGGCTTTATTTGTCACAGTTTTATTCACTGTGGGCTCATTTTTAATTGCAATGTAAAATACTGCACCTCAACCGAAAAAGCCCTCCATGAATACATATACAGAGAACTCAAAATGTCATTTGTGCATAATGACACAGTTATGATGTCGTAAATCATAAAATAGGAACATGTTTGATTGGATTTGATTATTTATTTTACAAAAATTAAAAAGAAAAACAAGACAGGCGTCAACATGTACAACATTTTTCCAATTGCTACCAAAAAAAAATACGGTGGTTCCACATTTTGTAAATATTTTACTATTTACTGCAATGCTAACTGTATCTTCCAACAACCTGCTGGCCTCCTACTCCACTGTATGGTATTTCATAGCCATGTTGCATTTCTTTTAATTGATTAGATTTGCTTTATTTTAACCTCAGTCTTCCTAAATTGTCTCCAAACCTCTGTGTTCTGTGTAAACACTGCCTGCTTTTCAGCCGAATAGTTCCTGAATTTTAGTCTCAGGACTGGTGGTTGCAACGGAGCCAGATTTGATTTAATTTCTTTACAGGATCTGGCAAAACAAGCGGTTTGTTTTTGATGACTTTAAATGCAGCACGTAGAATAAAGTGATGAAATATCACTATTTAACAATTAGATGTGGTTTATTCTAACGATCGCTTACGCTTCATAAATGCTTAATTCAAGGACCAGTGGAAAGTTGAACATCTGATGTGTCTGCCTCTGGTTCTTGGGGATTTATTTTTAAAAAGAAAATTTGCCTTTCAAACCTTTAGAGGGCAACGCTAAATATCAGCAACCTTTCTTTCTCCACTTTTCTCTTTACTACAGCTCTCTGAAGATAGTTGACTTCACTGTTAAATGATCTGCATCTTTTAGCAGAGGTGGAGTCAAATACGATACTGAAAAAGAGATGAGTGAGGTTGCTTGACGCAGTGCATATTTTTCTAAAGGCTAAAATCACATTTGCTCTTGAAATGGACCATTGACCTTACAAGCGGCTCCACAAAAAGCCAAGTGGCATCTTGGATATTTCTGCGGGGGGAGTTTTGCAGAGTTACAGTCACTTTGGGCTTTGCGGAAAGAACTAAACTGGTTTAACACTTCCCTAATACCCGTCTTAATCCCATCATCTACCCAAGCACCAGTGTACAGAGCTTTAGCATGGGCATCAGCGGCGCACGGCACACACAGACTCACAAACCATCTAGTTTTCCTGTTTTAGCTTGCACGCTAAAAATAAGGCTTTTCACACAGAGCAGACTGAGACCACCAGGAATGCTGCTGGTTCTTTCAAAAAAAAAAAAATCAAACTGTCACAAAAATCCCAATATGTCAGTATATCTGAGTTGCTGTGTATCCTTGGACAAAATAAAAAAGAGTTTCTTTTCTTAGTGAGGAACCATTTTACAGTGTTGCTTCATTTTTCAACAAGCTCTCTGCTTGCTGGTCTGTGAATGTGTTTCTATGTGAACAAGGTAACAGGATTTCCACTGCTGTCTAAATCCAGCTTGTTGAATTTGTATGAAAAAAAAAAGAAAAAGAAGGTTTAACTAACGTTCCAATCTGTTGTCATGGTTTCCTCCTCAGTGACAAAATGTTTCCTGCTCTGGGATTTGGAGCTCAACTCCCACCGGACTGGAAGGTATGTGTGTTGTTGTTGTTGTTGTTGTTGTTTTTGTGCGTGCAGTCGTGTGCGATGCATGTGCACGTGTGGCGGCAAAGGCAGAGGGAAGAAGGCGGGTTGTCGTCTGCAAACTCGCAGTCGAAGCGAGCCCGCGTTCCACTTGCATCGCACACGCACGCACAAAACACTCGCAGATAAAAACTGTAAGCATTATACATGCATATTCAGATGATTACGCAACTGTCAACCCATCTGTGTTGCCATGGCACTGAGCTGATGAAAAGGACAAAGAAGAGCGAGCTGCACGGAGAGCTGGAGAGACGGTGGGAGGGAGACGGTGTGGGAGAAATGGACGGCGTGTCTTAACTATAGTTTACAGCGTGGTGAAGGATGAGCATTAATACGTGTCGGTGTCTCCTCAGGTGTCGCACGAATTCGCCATCAACTTCAACCCGACCAACCCTTTCTGTTGTGGTGAGTAGCAACAGATGCTATAAGTGACCCTTCCTTTGAAAATATGAATATTCCCAGTTTTTATTAAATGCCTCTTTATGTGATCAGTTTGACCTCTATGGCCTCATCAATATGAGACATGTTTGGCCTTAATTAATCATATATAAAAGCTGATACTCATAAATCGGAGCCAGCCAATTATCTGTTATGTGCTGCTCTGTCCAAAACTTAACCGAATCTAAGCTTAAAATTGTAATTTCTTACTAAAACACAACTTCATTCTACATGTCTTGTTAAAAAATTTTGAAAAAATTAACAATTTGACCTACAAAATACTGTAAAAAACTTTAAAAATGATGCGCTTATTGCCATAACCATGGAGTCATTAATAGTTCAGCTGCAGCCAACAGCTTCTTGACAAAAATTCAGAGACTTTTCAGCTAAACTGGGTTGAGCTGCAGGCAGTGTGTGTTTACACAGAGCAGATGGGAGGCAATGGAACAACAAATATGTAACTAGGATCTAGACGGATGTCATCAGTGACACAGCTGCAACCTTTAACCTCTTAAGACCCGAGCTCTTGTTTGATATGCATTTTTATTCCTCTTTGCTATTTGATCTGATCAAATAGCAAAGAGGAATGAAACGTGTTTATTTATCAGAGCCAACGTTCCAGCGGTCCTTGAAATCACTGTCTGGGACATACTGTTCTGTCAGAAACTTACTGAATCTAAGCTCAAAATCTTATTTTTTCATCAGAATTTACTTCATCCTGCACATCTCATTTAATAAATTGCTAAAAATTAACCATTTGACCCAACAAAATTCTATTAAATCCAAAAAATTCAGCAATCTTCAGTGCAACCATGAAGTCAATAGTGATTTAGCTGCAACTAGAGTCTCATGACAAAAAAAATCAGGGTTAGGTCTTTGAAATTTGTCTCGATAACTTCGATAAATTTGTCCCCTGCCGTGACCGTCGACACAGCAGTTTGGAGTGGGTAGTGTCAATTCTCTCTGGTTCTGGTTAAGGCTAAAATCAAAATCACTTCATTCTAGATGCCCCATTTACATATTTTCGAAAAATAAACTGTTTTTAAATGAAACACACCAGATTCTCTTAAAAATAAAAAAAAATTCTGCACACTTCAGTGCAACCACTACGTTGTTAATGACTCAGCTACGGCCACCAGTCATGTGAAAAAAAGACTTTTCAGCTGCACTGGATTGAACTGCAGGGTGTGTGTGTTTACACAGAGCAGGCAGGAGGCAGGCATGGAAACTAATTTTTTACATTTCTAGTAAAATATCTATAATATGTACATTCACTATTTTTTCCAGTGATGGTAGCACATGTGGCCACTTGTATGTTGATGTCAAGTTTATTTCTTATGTTTTTGTAATATAAATAATTAAAGAAATCCAACTCTTGTTTATTCTTTTTTTATGGTTTATGACATTGGAACTGAGTCATGCTGCACTAAAGATATCTTTGAGTTTCTGCTACTTGTAGCCGTGGTAGAGGAGCAGGACTTTACATTGTAGTGACAAATGAGCCCACGGGCGAAAAATATCTGAGAACATCTTGGGTTTCAAAGGTCAAAATAAACTTCTCAGTGCTCTCTGAACCGCAGCATCATATTACTTGCTTGTAAACACACTGTTTATAGAGATACCAATAAAGCAATGTGCCAGTGAATCTGTCTTTATAGTCACAGATAGTCAAATAGCCCATTTTGATATTTTTGCGATATTGATATAAACAAACTTAACTTATTCATCAGCCATCTGAAGCCTCTTCTGCTCTCGATCCTTCACTAAAATGCTGATTTGTTTTCTGCTTACAACTCTTTTCCACGGATAATTGAATCAGCTGAAAACACTGCGTCTTATCTGTACTTGTGGGTTGTCGTCTTCTTTGAGGCCTGAGCCCACATCGTCTGCCAGCAAGCTGCTCCAACAGATAGGGGTTACCCAGCTTCTTCCTGCTCTAAGAAGATGTAAAACACAGTGTTTTATGGTGTAGTTTTCCACCACTGATTTACAGAGGGATACATAATGACAGCTACAGTTAAAGGACAGTAGAAGATAGAAACGTTTTCTGCATAAACATTCAGACACAAGGCTGCAATGTCAGTGTGACTTTGTGGAAATAAACACAGAAATGAACAGTGCAATAGAAACTACAATCAGCTAAAAACACTACAGGAGAAAACATTGGTCTTTAATGCACTGGTCAGTTTTGAGATTTTGAGATATTTTCTTCCATAGCACACCTTCATTTAGCCTAAAGGAGCTGATTTTGCTATGCTCTGTCTATAGGACATGTCTGCAAATTAGGGCCTTTTTGCATATTGTAAACCATTAACTGGTGATGTATTAAGTTGATATCTGTTGTTTTAAAGCTGCCTTTGTAAATAGTGGCTTCCAATTAATAAAATAGGTGTGGAGTATTAGAATGCATATTCCTAAAGGCAAACAAAAAATGTTTTTTCATCACGCTCTGAGCCAGAAATCTCCATTTCAACAGCACTTGCATTCACCAAACTTTCCACTTTTCTTCCTGTCTATATTCTGAAGGTCTGTGCAGATAGGTTTGCTCATTTATCATTGATCATCTGATTTATGGAACATTTTGTTCTTTTTTCAGACAGTATTCTGATTGACAGAGAAGTAAAAACAGATATCCAAAACGCTCTCTGTAAAAACCTTTGACACATATCTGTCAACAATATGAAACAATAATTTTAAAGGTGGCTTTATCCAGGATTTACATTTCTGTCCTTTAAACAAATGTAATATTTTAACATACAGTTTCAGAAAAACTTGTAATTCAAACAAAGCACCGCCTTGTTAGATGTAATCAACTGGGGAAGTCTCATTCACAGCTGATTAGTTAAAAGTTTACCCTATTAACCTGTAGTATCTATCCTTAAGCTGGAGTGTAAAAGTAATGCAAGACATCCAGTAATAAAAAGCAACAACAAAGGAAAGAAGCAGCATCTCCAGAGCAGCCGACAGCAGCAGGTGCTGCACTATTTTCTGTATCTGAGTAAATAAGTCCTTCACACCTCACCTACACCTCCCACTTTGGATGTTAGTCTGAATTAGCAGTTTGAACACTAATGTGATATAATATGACACCACACAGTTGACACATTTCCAAACCTTCACATTTCATTATTGATGCTCCGACTCTGAGCGAGAATCTTTACTGATACTGGTTACAAACACCTGCAAGTGAAATTCCCATCACTCCGAGTGTGATTTGTGCTTACAGCTGAAATGGAGACCACGTTAACCATCTGAGTTTGAAAGGCACGTTTTGTTTTTTAAATCACCAAAATGACAGCGTTTATCAGAGACAGAAACTGTAAAAATAAAACAATCATTAGATTTTCTTCCTTACAAAGATTCTTGAAGTAATCATTGATGATGTATGGTTCCTTCAGGAAAAATTTGTGAAATTTAATTAAAATTGCCATATTCTGCATGTTGGGTGGCGCAGTTGGTAGCACTGTTGCCTCGCAGCAAGAAGGTTGCCGGTTCGCGTCCCGGTGGGGGCACCGGAATCTTTCTGCATGGAGTTTGCATGTTCTCCCTGTGCAGCGTGGGTTCTCTCCGGGTTCTCCGGCTTCCTCCCACACAGTCCAAAAACATGTTGAGGTTAATTGGTGATTCTAAATTGTCCGTAGGTGTGAATGTGAGTGTGCTTGGTTGTCTGTCTCTAAGTGTAGCCCTGTGATAGACTGGTGACCTGTCCAGGGTGTCCCCTGCCTTCAGCTGGGATAGGCTCCAGCCCCCCCGCGACCCTAGTGAGGATTAAGCGGTGTATAGATGATGGATGGATGGATATTCTGCATGTTTCATTTTTTTTTAAAAAGCTAAAAATGTGATATTTTCTCTAACTATATTCTATATAAAACAAATAATTCTGTGCTCCTCAATGTATCTGGTATGCTATGTTTGAATGGGCTACAACTAACAGTCACATGATGAAAATTCAGAGTTTTCAGTTGAACTGCAGACAGCGTTTCCACCGAGCAGAGGAATAAAAGAGCAAATAAAACCTACTGGGTCAATAAGGTGAATGCAGCATGGCTCAAAAACAGTACACGGAGGAGAAAGTTGTTGGAAGATACATTCAGTACGGTGAACTATCTTTCTAGAGTTGTTGTACCAGTGTCCAGCCTCATATGACGACGAGCATGGCTGCAGATTGTTTGTCTTGTTTATGTGCGCTCGTAAAAGGCTCCTCAGCATAAGCACATACTGGAACTAACATTTCCTCGACTTCAGCACACCGAGAGACATTTTGCACCTCATCAACATCTTTCAACTTGCTTCAATTCAACAGAAAGCCTTTTTAACATGGTTCACTTGCATCTGTTAGCTCATCATTAGCATTTGAAATGTGAAGAATGCAAATGTGGTTATTGACAAAATGCTTGAGTGGCAACTGCTGAGAGCAAAACTGTGACACCCAGAATGAAGCTGCGTGAGGCATATTTTACCCTGACAGAGGAAGTAAAGGTCATGTTAAGCAAGTGCATTTACACTCATCCCTCTGCTGGAGAGGACCTCTGTCAAAAATATTAGCTTCTTCTTCAAAATGGAAGCACGGCTCGCTGTTATTAAAACGCCTGCCTACGCAAACGCCCTTTTCTTTTTAGGGTTAGCGTCTTTTCTTGGCCAATACAGCCTCCGGTGCACTCTGAGATGAAAAAGTTCCAGGCTAAGCAACAAAACCTGAACTGCAAGTGCTGCTGTATAAAAGCTTCTTATATAAAGTGTATCATGCAACTCTCCTAACAAGGGCTTAGCATTACATCTGGCAAACAAATGGTTGTTTGTTTGTGCCTCACGGTGAATTCTTTATTTGTATATTTGCATTTCTTGCTCTGAAGGTGCATATTTTTATCAAACCGAGACGAGATGTGAGTGAGGAGACTTTTATATCAAGGAATAAGCCTGAAAGATGGAGCTGTGTTTAAGTGTCGGCTTCCCTGTTCTCTTAAGGAAATAAAAAGCCGTGCAGGAGGCCGTGTTCACCAAATGATCCCTGTCTGATTGGAGTCTAAAATAGTAGTGCTGATGAGAAACACTAACATGCTTTCATGAGCTTCTGGCCCCTTGTTGAAATGTCTCATTTGAGTTTGGAGACATACTGTATGGAACCTCTCTTCCGCCTCTTCTTACTTTTTTCTAACTCATCTTCATCTGAATTCTCTCTCCAGGTGTGGAAGGCATCGCCCAGGCCTACTCCGCCTGCCTCCCTCACATTCGCTTCTACGGACCGACGAACTTTGCTCCGATCATCAACCATGTAGCACGTTTTGCTGCTCAGGCCCTTCAGCAGGAGAAGGCAGCGGTGGGTGACAACAACTTCCCTTTTTTTTTTAATCTGCCTTTCAGTGTTTTAATTATGCTAAAGCCAAGCCTGTTGAGACACTGTTGAGATGAAAACATTTGCAAATATGCAGGCTGTATTCCAGTCCCAGCTCTTCTTCTCTATTCGTTTCTCACTTGAGAGGTAGAATATGTTGGTGGAGGAGTTGTGTATTGCCAGACACAGCTGCTGACTCCAACCACAACAACTACAAATCCAGCCAGTCTGTCAGAGCACCCTCTTCTGTCGACACACCTGTCTGTCAACGGCGTAGGTTTGCTTCTTTAACTTTAGTAACTTCTTATTTTCTTGGTACACTTGTACACATGCACATGCATGAACACACACTGACTTTCATTCTGCAAAACAGTCCCTTTATGCATTATGTATTTGCTCATGTAACTCTCTTTACACCAGAATGTCTGTTTTGAGTCCTTTCTTTCATTCTGTTAGTTTGGCCACAGCATTGCTCTTTTACATGTATTTAAACCAACTCAAAAGGTTCCACTTAACATAAACATCATGAGCTTAGATGCAGGCATTTGACATCAGAGGTCTGTACTATGAAGCAAGATTTGAGGTTTGCGAGGGAACTTCTTTTGAGTGACTACTACAGTGGTTTTAGATGGCTACTACACTGGTTCACTTCTTGCAGATAAAGCTCCAGATCAGTTTATGTTCAACTGATTAACATGCATCAACACACCACCTACAAACAAAAGGTTTTGGGGGGAAAGTCACCATTTGTGCTTAAACTCTTTCCCAAGCAAAGGAGCTTGAATATCTCAGAATCTTGCTCCTGATTGATGGGAAAATGGTGCATGAGATGACAGATGGCTTTGTTAAAGCATCAGCAGTAATACAGGCGCTGTGCTGGACCTTTGTGGTGAGCACTGAGCTAAGCCAGAGGGCAGAGCTGTAGTTTTGTCAGTCAGCCTTCTTTCCAGCCCTCACCAGGGGTCATGAGCTCTGGGTCGCAACTGAAAGAATAAGATTGTGGATGCAAGGCTGGGCTCAGTCTAAGAGGTAGGGTGAGGAGCTCGGACACCTAGAGGTGCTCAGAGTAAGTTTGCTGCTCTGTTGCATCAAAAAAAGCCAGCTGAGGTGTTTGGTATCTGATTAGGATGCCTCCTGGGTGCCTTCTTTTGGAGGTTTTCTGGGCAGGTCCAACTAGGAGGAGACTCAGTTCTTGCTGGAGGGATCACATTTCTCATTTGGACCCTGAGAGGAACCAGAAGAGGTGGTTTGGGGATCTGATTAGGATGCCTCCTGGGCGCCTTCCTTTGGAGGTTTTCCTGGCACCCTGGGGGAGACCCAGAACTCGCTGGAGGGGTTACACATCTCATCTGGCCTGGGAACACCTTTGGGTGCAATGGAGATGAACTGGAAAGCTTTTCTGGGGAGAGGGATGTCGGGAATGACCTGCTTCATCTGCTGCCTTCTGCAACCCAACTCTGGTTAACTAAAAAAAAAAAAAAAAGATTGACTGCAAACCTAAAATATCAGTTCACAGATAGAGAAAGGGTCTTGAGCTTTTAGCGAGCGTTTAAACCTTTACTTTTCCTGATAAGCATAGATATGAAGGATATTAAGTCCAGTCTTTCTTGATTTTTTTTTCCAACCAACACCAAGACATTTTCTAAGCCATTTCATTGTTTTATAGGCTGCATTGTTCTAAAACAGACACTGATAAAGCACTAAAGCCTTCTACTTGTTCACCTTTTAACGGTGAAGAAAAGGGTTTAAATTATGTTTTTATATTTGCTCTTCATTTGCTTCCAGAACCGTGTGACACACATTCATTGAATGCGATACACAGTTGTGATTATAGTTGGATGTTTGCATGCTTTAATGATGGGGCATTGATATTGATAACTTGCACATTCACACTGTTGGCATGCTTTTTTGTTTTTTGCCACCTTTCCTTCCCGCTTTGGCTGCAGCAGCTGTGTTGCTCTCAGCCTCTATTATGTTTTCTAAATTCCACAGCGGACGGTAGCAGTGCTGGAAGAATGGGCAGACCGTGAAATCAGCTGTGGCAGATGATGTTATTTTCCTCGGAGGCACTGTTGCTCTTACTTTCAACTCCTTTGGTTTTATTTTTTCACCCTGATGACTTCCACTGACAGGTTACTTTAAGGAAAAGTTTGAATTTGCTCAGTTTTTTTACTGTTTATAGTCACTATAACCTCCGGGCACGTTGATGTCAGTTTGTTTGTCAACCACTTTGTTCTGTATTAAAATACCTCCACATGTTCAGGATGAATTGCAAGAATTGGACCTCAGATGCTGACTTTGGTGGCCTCTTGACTTTTTCTCCTGGATGTTTTTGTTTTACTACAGGCTGGATTGCAATGATTTCATATGTAGTTTCACTTTACTGTAAAGTCTAATAACACAGGATGGTTTCAGTGTACGATGAATAATGACATTCTGCCTCAACTGAACCGTATCAAGAACTAATTGACAAATGTTAACACGGTGCAGCAAAGCTCAATTACATGGCTAATATCTAATGCTAATATCAACATGCCAACATTTCCAGACTGACTGTATGTAAAGATTGGCCTTTTACTCTGTTTTACTCTAAATGGGACCATAATTTCCAAAATTAACACCATGCTGTGTTAAAACAGACATAAAACAAGTGATTGAATCTATAAACTTGTCAGGAAAATTTTTATGGAGGTAACAAATCAGGTGAGAACTACGGTCATTATCCCATAGACTTCAATAAGAGCTAACCTTCTTTTATAACCAGAGGAGTAGCCTGCATCTTTTTGTGGTCTGTTTTCGGCTGTTTCACATGTTTTGGTCACTTTGCATCTCATTGCATCTCTTTGTGCTCCTTTTTGTCTTCTCTGTAGTTGTTTTTGTCTCTTTTGGTCATTTAGCCTCTTTGCTATAATTTTGCATCTCTTTCAGGTTTCTTTACTTTGTTTTGTGATCTTTGTGCATCTCTTTTGTTTTGTATCAGTTTGTGCCACTTTTTTGTGTTGTAGCAGTCATTTGTTTCAATTTGTGCTTTTATTAAAATGTGTTTTTGGGGTCATTTAGTGTCATTTTTTGCCTTTTTTTTTTACAATGTTTTTGTGAGGTCAATGCGTCTCTTTTTGTTGTTTGTGATCACTTTGTTGTCATTATCAGTTTTTTATTGTTTCGTGTCTCTTTGCAGTCACTTTAGGTCACTTTGTGAGGAACTGCAGCTTCTTGTACTGCATAAACATAATATTGCGTCTTTGTTGGCTTTACTTTTCAAAGCGACATCTTTAAAAGCTACATCCGTCCTTCATTTACAGTCTGTGGCTGTGACAGTGTTAGCATTTAACTCAAATCCATGCATGTCTCTATGTAAAGTTTGAAAGTTGTATCATAGTCACCTTCACTATCAAGGGTTCTGTACTTTATATTCATCAGACAAACATTAAGAAGTAAATCCAATATCTAAAGAATTGCACAACACTAATTTCAGACTAATTTTGCAAAATATACACTATCCCTATCAGTTGTGTACTGATTTGGGTGTATTCACCTGCTTGTGAGAGTAGTATGCATGTATTAATGAATGTACTGTAACCGTAAAGGGGCACATAAAAAAGACAACCACAAATTTGTCTAACGTTATATATGTGAGGAAATTTCCACGCAAATTTCCACAAATCTGCATCGTTCTGACATTTTATTCAATATCTCAAACTCATGGCTGCTTGGTCCTGCTCTGTTGCTCAAAGAACACTGCTCTGTTCCTCGCTGAACAATCATTTGACAGCTCACAGATTCTATAATGCCCTGCTACCTTTTTCCATTTCATCTAATATACTGTTCTCTACCCATCTCAGGACTGTTCCGTGGCTCTTATTTGATCACTGACGCGTCACTTTTAATGCAGCTCTTTTGCACCAAACATGGACTTGTGGATTACCTTTATTTGTACTCTGCGAGTGTCTCTGTTGTGTCTGAGTCACTTTGTTCTCTGCTTTCCCTTTCATTCACTTCACTGATCATATTCTTCTTTGTATCATACCTTCGGGCAAATCACACCAAAGAAGAGCAAACTGTATTTTTTTTTGTTTGTTTACTCACCAGTGGTAGAGCAGCAGTCAGCAGCCTGTCAGGAGAGTTAGTGCTCATTATTTATCCACTCTGACGGCTGACGGGACGAACAAGTGTGTACATCTGTTGGCTTGAGCTCCTGGCATGTTGACCAGGGAGGAAGGTGACAGACCGGAGTGACAACTTCTGTCCTCTCCTCTGCCATCTTACACCTCTTTGCAGCTGAGACACTGACCAGGCTTTTCACACATTTCCTGGCTTAACAGCATGATAGGGAGGCCTCCTCCATCTCATTTGCTTCTTTCCGTGCCGGTGGCTCGGCTCGAGGGGCGGCTAAATCGGTCAACCCAGGCTTTGGTCCAAATAACTCAACAACTGCTGGATGGATTTCTCTACAGTTTTGTACATGCATTCATGCCTCCTTCAGGTTGAACTGTAATGAATGTTGTGATTTCCTGAATTTTCCATCTAGTAAACTCTTTAGGTTAATGTTGCAAACAGTCAAACTGAACACATTTTCATCAGTCTCAGCTGTACTGGACTGTATTTAGTACTAATTTGCAAGATAGTAGATAAATATTATATCTGCTAAACATCAGCATACTGACATTATCACTGAGTGCATGCCAACATTAGCATTTAGCTCAGAGCACCATTGTGACTAATCACTGCCTCAAAGACCTCTCTTCGTCTTATATTAATACAATAATCTTAACTAATTGAGCCTTTTTCAATGCCCAAGTTAGAAAGTCCCCCTCAAGGCAGCAAAATGAAGACAGATAAAAACACAATTTGGTGCAAAACTAATACAGTGTGGGGAAAAGGTAAAACTGTTTTCAAGGGAAACAAAAGAGAGTTCAAAGGAAGTTAAAACTCAAGTTTAATCAGGAAAGCCTCTTTTAAAGTGTGTATCCGTGTGTTCAGTACCA